TAACCATTCCATCTCTGTTCGCAGAGAATGATAATCAAAGCACCCTTCAGTCATCATAGCATTTAGCCTTTTGTTGTGAATAATTCAACAAGCAATACTTTGAATATTTCGTAAATCGGTGAGCTATTTATAGGTTCAGTTGAACGTGTTTTGATAATGTAGTGCTTTTCAAATGCAAACCTTTTTTTTTTCCCGAAACAGATTGCAAACATGAACCCATGAACCTCTGGATGGTAGAAATCCGACTATGAATTATTTAACACTAAGGACTCAGTGGGTTTAGAATATGAATTTCTACTCTGCTTTCTGCCCGTTTATTCTAATGACACTTGTATGAACTGAACTTTGAACATTAACAAATTTAGTCAAAGAGAAAACCCTCAATATTCCCGTAGAGTCTGCCAGTTGTATGACTTTAGTTGCTTTTCCCCCCATGCATTTAAAAACATTAAAATTGATACAAGAGCACAAAAGTTATTATTCTCTGAAAATGGTCCTCTCCAGTGAGCTGTTAACTTGAGAACCCCAGTGATTGGATCGAGTCACTGAACTGGATCAGATATGTGAATGAACCATTCGGAACTTATTTCACAAACTAAATGAACCAATTCATAGAAAATTTTCACAAATTAGCTAAAGAAAAATATGTTCACAAATTAGCTGGAATCTTACTGGGACTGGACGACAGTAACCATGTTTTAGCTTTGTGAATATCCATATCAGCACAAATCAGTTTGTTCAGTTTATTTGATCTGTGGCTCCTTTGGAGTATAAACACTGTGATTTTCTCAATGTGATTTTGATGAGGAAGGCCATACTCTGTTTTATGATTAACTGTTAACTGGCATAAAATGACTGAAATGTGCATCCATGTGTCTGTTACAAGTTGCAGTCTTACACCCTCGGACTGATCCAGCACTTGACCCTCATTTACAGACATTACCATTATTCTGAGTTGCTGAATTATTCATAAACGCAGTGAAAGGAAACACATTGGTAATAATTGCTAAATGTAGGTTCAGAGACTAAAGTGAGACAGTCGCACAGGATTACAGTTTTTAGTATTATTATTTTAGTTGTTTTAGTTTTTTATATGGCTAGGCTATACATATATGAATGCATTTCTGCGTATATACAGTATGATTAAAGGTGTATGTTTCTCTTTTAGCCATGGTACATTATTACATTCGGCTAGCCAGTGTGAATGTGTGCATGTGTATGTGAAAACCTGTAAATTGCTTACAGAAACTGACACACAGGATGCATTATATGTAAAAAGGGAGATGAAAATGCTTTACATGACACAAAGTGAGAGACAGTTTGATTGAGATGCAGAGGAATGAATACAGTAGAATTGTGCCGGTGGCAGAGATTCTCTGGACTTTATGCAGTACGTGTTATAGACCTGCCTTCTCAAAAACACAATGCATCATAACCACATGGATGAGGAGAGACAGTGTTTGAACAGTTAGACATTGTTTTTACGTTACTTTGTGTGTCTAGAGGAAACCCGCAACCTCTGTTTGTTGGTGACGGTGACAGGGCAATGTAGCTAAACTAATCTCAGTATTAATGTATTAGCTCTGACATGGCTTTTTTTCTTCAAAGAGAGGAATTGTAATTTGGACCAATTGTTGGACTATTGTTGCCATGTAGATTAAAAATATTTAATGCAAGGAAAATAGCAAAATTGAGTAAATATCCAGTTTAAAAAATAATGAAGGCTGCTCAACCCTGTATGATTGACTGACAAAAAAGATACTATAGTGAACAATATTAGGATCTAAACAACATTGGATCCCATTAAATTTCATTGTATGGACAAACAACAACAACAACAAATATAAATAAATAAATAAAACCTGAGACAATTTTCAAAATATCTTTGTGTTCCACAGAAGTCATATAGGTATGGAGCAACAGAAAGGTGAGTAAATTATGACAGATTTGTCATTTTTTTGGTGAACTATCACTTTAAATCTATTACCCAGCCCTTGTGGTTTATCTGTACACACATCTAACAATAAACTTTCAAACTCAAAGGGTTAGTTCACAAAAAAACTGAATATTTCTTTCATCAATAGCTGCTTTTCCACTGTCGGGCCAGTGTGAGCCAGGGCTAACAACGAGCCGGCTCATTGTTAGAAAATCAAGCTGAGTTTCCACTGTCAGACCAGTGCCTCCCTGAAGCAAACATCACACAACCCCACCATTTCACCAGCGAGGGGAAAATTAATAAAAATTAACTATATCGCAAAACGCACTTGACAGAAGCTGACGTTTGGTTCTTACATAAAGACTTCAAAGAAAGACTCCAGCATTGATATTTTATGTACCAATGATTTACAATAAAAAAATAGTAATGTATTAATTTGTCAGCAGTGCACTTCAGTGATGCTAAATCAAACTAATATTTATCATTATTTATTTCACATAAAAAGAGAACACATACTTGTTCAGTCACAGCTGCTCTGTTTATTTGTGGTGACAGGAATGCACAAAACAACTCCATTGGGGCTTTTAAGTCCAAATATGTACACATATAAAACTGATAAACCCTTGTATGTTTACGTCAAATTTCTTTAGAAAGAATGAGCATTTATATAAATTTTCTCCAATGTATGCTGTCTCCCGGCTCACTATACTGTTATCGTTTCAGCAAAAGCAACAGAGGGAGCTCACAGACAGAAAGCTGGAATTATATGAGCTAAACGAAGTATATAAAATTTATGACATATGTAGATGCAGAAGTCCAGTGTCAACAAAGACACCTTCGTGTTTCGAATACAAGGCCCTGTTTACACCTGGTATTAAGATGCGTTTTAGTCGATCCGATCACAAGTGGATGACGCTAAAGACGGGGCGTAAAACGTTTTGAGCTTGTCCACTTTTTTTGACAGTATTTTCATTTTTGGTGAACTCGCTTTAAACAGACAACATGCCAAGATAAAACACTTATTATTTCAGTGTTGCGCTCTGATCCGAGTGTGTGAACCTGGCGTTACGTTTGTATGCCCGCCCGGTCTGTTCTGTTCTCGTGCTCCATTTAGGCGCGCTGCATTCTGATTGGTTCGGATACCATGCTGCGGGAGGTCGGGGGCACGGAAAATTGTGCTATAAAGCGATTTAGAAACCTGACAGCGTTTAAATCTCCTGCATTCACTTGATTCCCCTGGAGTCATGTTCACCATGACCAAACTGGTGGTACAGTGGCATGAGGTTCTTCCTGTCGAATAACAGGACACTTTTTTTTATTCACTCTTCTGAAATGCTTGTTCTCCTCGGGCTTTGCGGTCCAGTATTAAAGTGGTGGTGCGTGACACTGAAGCTGTTGCCACTTGCTAAACCTGTAAAGCGTGACAGTGATTAAAGAGGCTGTGCGGTAATGTCATTTTCTCTGTATCGCATTCACAGGCCACACAGGCATTAGATCAGACTGCTTTATTTAACTGTGAACACTGGCTGGAAAGAGGCTGTCAGTTCGGCCATTTGATTTGTGTTCAGCTAAAAAAAATGCAAATTCTGTGATCATTTGTGATCATGTAACTCATGTCATCCATATGACTTTCTTCTGTGGAACACAAAAGGAGGTCTTTTGAATAACTTTACCATGTTTTAAAGGGGTCATATGATGCTGCTAAAAAGAACATTATTTGGTGTATTTGGTGTAATGAAATGTGTTTATGCGGTTTAAAGTTAAAAAAACACATTATTTTCCACATACTGTACATAATTGTTGGGCTAGAGTGAGCAGAGGCAGCGGGGTCGAGAACGGGCTGGACTCCGCTTTGTCCTCTTTTGGAAGACCAAACAAAGTAGTTTTGCTTTCACAACGAAACACACAGCGTCTTCACGACATGGCGGCAGCGGCAACAATACTACAGTGAGAATAAAAGTTACGCCTTCTTTCTTTGCGTGAACATTTGGGCAGCGTTATGCAAATCTTCCCACATCGTGACGTAGGTATGTTGGGGCGTGTTAGAACGAGCCATTTTAGGTAGGTGTGGCTGACTCTTAACTTTTATAAAGAATATCTCTTTGGATTTGAGACTTTAGTCTTTGCAACTTTACAGATCTTCTTTATGCACCAAGAGCTTGTAACACTCCAAAGAGGAAGGAAAAATTTAAATCGCATCATATGACCCCTTTAAGGTGTTTTAAAATTTCTTTGTGATATATAAATGTATTCATTTATAATGACAATGCTCATGTTTTGTCAATGCTCTGTCCAATAACAATCCTAGCACTAGAGTAGCAAACTTTTGCTATGGTTACATCCTAATGTAAACTAAAGTAAAAGTAAAGTTAATGTAGTTCTGAGAAAACTTCTAGCATCATTTGTTTGCCACTTGGTTTGATATTTTGTATCTGATGCAATGAAATTGAGAATTTTTTATGCGTGACTTAAATATCCAAGTGCACCACTCAATGAAGTTATCAAATACTTTGGTTCAGTATTGCAGCCACAAAAGGCCTTTTAGACACAAGTGTGTTGTACATATTCTGTATTTACCCATATGGCCAGCTAAACTACAAGCAATCCTTTCGTACCGCTAGTACTTCAAATGATTGACTCTATTTGTCACCACAAAATTGAGATCTCAATTTTGCAGCTTCTGAATGGAAGATAAATAGACCTTTCTGGATAATTGAAGCCATATTTTCAGTGTGAACAAGTGCACTTGCAGGGATATGAAACCAATGATTGTGTGAACAATAGGTTTGACTTGAGTTGCATAGTACTTTGAAACCAATAGAGTGCCCTCAAGTCAGTGACTGCTTCCTTTAATCTTCTTCCTCTGAACACAACTAGACATCTCTTCACTCACTTTTACAGTGTCATCCTTAATTTTTCATCTTTTTTGTTATGACATCAATTTTCTCACAAACCTAGACGCCATGTCTTGTTTTTGCATGCTATATCTGCTTTTCCTTATCTATTTCTTTCATTTTTTTCTTTCATGCATGCTTTTCCTCTTCAGAAGGGGTAGACTTCTGAATTCTGCTACCGTGCTCCAAGATGACGGCCTCAAGAAAGGTTTGCGTTGTTGTTTGAAGCATGAAACCTTGGTGGATTCAGGTTAAGGCCGAAACCCTCTGATTCATTTACTGGTGCTGGTGAAGTATGAAGCTATAGTGGGTACATAAAATACTTCATAAAAAAACATTTGGGGTCTAATGAGCTAATATATAGCATCTTCTCAAATTCTATTACCAAATTCTATTACTATTTTTGACCTTTCTGACTCCTGCTGCTCTGTACATTTGACTCTTTGAGCTTTAAAAATCAGCATTTTGCATGGATTAAATTACAAATTAAATTCATTAAAATCATGGTCATAGGTTCATGTTCAGTGTTGTCTTCCTGATGAAATTGGAAAGTCCCTAATCAAATTTTTTGTTTATTCAGGCTAGTTTTATTCCTGTACTAGTGAAAGTTTTTATTGTATGACCTCATTTTGTGGAAAAACAATAAATGTATGCAATGCGCTATGTTCTTTAAAAATGATGATGAATGGGGCCAGTTCGCCCTTGTGATTAACCTGAGTCCACCAAGGCCTTGGCAATTGTGCTGTGACTTTGCATTAACAGTAGTCCATTCATCCTGTATGTGTGTACATGTGCACATGTGTGTGAGTTTGCATTAATTCCTAAACTCAGGTGGCATTCATTTTCTCAGCACAATCCTATACCTCACTATCCTCACGGCACTGTCTGTCATAATGTTTGCCCTCTGTGATGCTGTATTAGGTCATTCAGTCGTGTCTGATTTTAGGCTTTATGTGTCTGAAGTCTGATGTATTAAAAAAACATCTGAAACATTTGTGGAAGTCTATGAGGCACTGCTTATGAACCTTGTCAGTGTAAAGTTATATTCAGTCTTACAAATTGTGTAATGACTGTGCAAATCTTTTACAATAACAGACAAAAAAAGGACAATTTATGCAAATGTAATGCTCAGTTCTCTTTTTTCAAATAAAAACTAAAGAAATAATAAAATAAAGTGCTTTTAAAAAAAACATTCTTTGCTTTTTTAACTGCTATACTTGCCTCATAGACGTCCATTGCAATTGCAAGTGGTAAATGTTAAAATCGTTGTCTTTCATATTCAACAACAAGTCTCAGATGTTATCCATAGGGCTTGAGGTGTTCTCAGAAATTTACACACAGGATGTTACTACAAAGTTACTTGTAAGATGTCCGGCAGTCATAAGCGCCTGCATTCAGTGCTGATCTTAAAGTTGATTTTTGATTCTGTTGAGCAAAGCCAGTGTCACACAAGCTTTGGTTGTCCTCCGGCAAGTGTGAGAGTCAGTCAAAGAGCCGTCACTCTGTTTGTCAGTACCATCTCAAAGCAACACATGACTGACTGGGTCTGTAAATAAAGCATGAAAGGGCACTGCAACGATGCTCTTGGTTCAGACTCCCTGTCATTCAGAAACCCCTAAAAACATCTTTTCAGATTCATCCTTCTTTAGTCCTCTATATTTCACACAGAATCTGTAATCTGTAAAGCATGTAAAAGTGACACAGATTGAGTATATAGTATCATTAGTGATCATCAGTCACATGATTGATGGCTCCTCTATTACTGTTTATAGTGAGTTGGTATTCTTAAAGGGGTGGTTCATTGCGATTTCACTTTTTTAACGTTAATTAGTGTGTAATGTTGCTGTTTGAGCATAAACAATATCTGCAAAGTTACGAAGCTGAAAGTTCAGTGCAAACGGAGATATCGTCTTTTAAAATTCTGGCAGTTTAATGCCTACAAAAACGGCTGGTAGAGACTACAACAAGTTACTTCCCGGGTTCGTGACATTACAAACCCAGATAAACCCCGCCCTCAGGAAAAGGCAGCAAAGGGGGTGGGGCCATGCAGCGCTGCTTTAGAGAAGAGGAAGAGAAAACTAAAGGTGCACGTGTATGTAACCATGGTTCCCCGAAGGGAACGAGACAC